TTTCTGCTGGGAAACTGTGTTCCTTAATCCTCCGTGACACTGCACCGAGCGCAGCATGCGGGGTCGAGCTGCAGCACAAAGCCAGCACATAATGGTGTGAATGAAAGCAAAGGCAGACACCAAAAAAAAAAAAAAACATTTTTGCTTCTCAAATGTGGCAATTTGCAGCTTTAATTTGGTCTATGTGATCAAGCACTGCCTTTGTTTAGATTTAAACAAGTAATGTTAGTCTTTTAGCAATGATTAAGGGCTTTTTAAAAAAAAATTCTGAGCATTTTAGAGTCATAAAATATTCAGATTACTCATTTCTGTTTTTTTCCCTCTCAATCATAAGCAGCTACTTTAATAAAGATGAGTTATTTTCAAGGTGTTTTCTTAAAGACGCAGAACAAACTTCATTGTTCTTGCTTCTAAAAAAGACCATCGTAAGGCTGTAGATTTAAGCTGGGATAAAACAAGCTTCATTAAAATGTCATCTGAGGGTCTGCAAAAGTCTGATTGCTGTAGCTCGCCATTTCCACATAATCTGCAGTGTAACCAACAAAAATTAGTGGCGACAAAACCGCTCAGAGTTTCCTGTGTGCGAGAGACAGCAGCAGATTACCTGCATTGTTTGCAGCAGCCTTTAGGCTGTGATTGGATATCGACTTATTGATTTTACTTTAAAATTCAAATTTAAGCAATGCTGTTAACTCCCCAAAATCCAGGGCTGCGATGCCAGGATAATAGGAAAGCCCACGTCTTTCCTTCTCTTCTTTATTATTTATTTATTTGTTAGTTTTAACAGGAAACCTTTGTACAAACACAGAATGAAAGGATATCTGGGCTAAACTGACATAAGACTGTGAGGAAAAAACAAAACACAAAAAAATGAGAGGCAGCATCAAGCAACAATCCGGGGATTTCAATGACGACTTCAATGAGCAGCACCCTCTGTGGTAATCAGTCTATTCCCTTTCATGTGAAACATGCAGCGCACTTTTTAAATTTTAAACAATCTCTCTCACACACACACACACCCCTAATCCAACTAGTTTAAGCATCTGGCACGGCATGCAAACAAATGACATCATTTACAGGAGAGCAGAGGACGCAGCGCTGCTATAGAATGAGGACAAGCAGGTTATGTGGTAAAAGTCACGAGAGCACCTGCTGGCACAGGAGAGACGGATTTAATCCAGTGATACGTATACGGTAAGAGAGGATGGATATCACTCCATTACTAAACCATAATTAACAATTTAAGTCAAAATGGGCAGAGACAATTTAAAAAAAAAAGAAAAAAAAAAAAAAAAGGTAAATTTCACTTAAATAAGTTATAACAGATTCAGAGCCTTTGCTGCACCCTTACTGATTGGGCTTACATGCATCTTCAACCCATTTTAAGTCAGAAAAACGCTAATTAAAACAATTATTTGCCCTAAAAAACATGTCCCCTCATTTGTACTGGCACCTGGTAGGCTGTCATTCACTACTAAAGCTCAAGGGTAGCAGTAACGTTTGGACAAGGCTGCTTTCAAGCCACCACGCAAAAAAAATAAATAATAAAAAAAAAAAGCAGCAGCAGCACTGCTCTCTACACGAGTTGGACCAGTAAAACGAGCCTTTGTACAAACAGTATGACAAACATTCAGCCAAATACTACAACAGCTGTTAGAAAGCACATTTTGGGCCTCTTGAAAACAATATATCATAATGAGCTCTGGCACCAAGTAAAGGTAGCACATTACAAATATACCACAACTCTGCATAGTCATTTCAGAGCGAATACAGTGACCGAACAGCTTCCTGTCAATATCTAACTGGATCTCTGCTTCAAACACCCAAAAGTGTCCCAAAGCTTAATAATTCCTTTGAACAATGTTTCATCACGTTGTCTTGACAACATCAAACCACAGACTGTATGTTTGGTGTAAGAAGTCCCATTTTACCTTCTTGAGCTGAACATTGTGGTTTTTTGAAATGATGAGTGGCTGATTCGGCTGAGAAACCAATGACCGGCTCATACAGTAAGAAAGTTGTCGACCACAAAGTAGCACTCTATCCTCATCTTTTTGACTCTAATGGGAACCACAATTAACAAAAATAAACATCACAACATATCCAAAATGGCTTAAAACTAACAACCGAGTCCACACACACCAGAAAAGTAACAATCATCACCTCAGTATAAGGATTAAGAATTACATGTCAATGTAAGAGATTCCTCAAACCATCAGAACAGACGTGAGGGATAAACATGGCCGGAACAAAGAGGATTTTATTGGTTTCTATCATGGTTGTCACCACATGTAAAGCACCGGGACATGACCACAAATAACAGCAATGACCTCAGCAACTTGGGTAGGTTGTGTTATAGGCTCCACAATCCAAAAGTCTGAATCAGATGTCAAAGATAAGACAGGCGTAGTGATGCTGAAAATATTTGCAGGACCGCTTTTGCTCCCCACCAAAGAAAATTGTGAAAATATTTTGCTCATTATTTCAGTTGTTGCCCCTTTTGTTTGTGGGTTTTGTAAGAATGTAGTTAGGCTAGAAATGACTCGGGTCAGACAGGCAGGTAGGCAAGCAGGCGTAGGACCAGCACGGACGTGGTTCTTTTTTTGCCGGCTGGTAAACCAAACAGAATTCATGCACTTTTGATGGCACAGTGTTTGCCAACAGTGCATGGAAAAAAAAGAAGAAAAAAAAGTGACTTTTGTGATAAACGATCACTCCACGAATTAAAAAGTCGAAAGAGTCTGAGAGAAAGTAACTGATAAATAGAGGAAACACTCAATTATCCACTAATTGAGTGTTTGACTTTTCTGAATAGTTTCTGGGATGCTTAGAACTCGAATTGCACAGCTGGAAAGAGTTTATTTTGATGCACCTGCTGTTTTCTTTGCAAATTTGCATCATAGGATTGTTTTTTTTGTTTTTCCTGCAGTGTATATAAAAATTGCTGTATCTCCAAAATAAAACTATGAAGACACTCAAAATAAATTTCCTGTTGTTGTAAACTATTTTTTGCAACTTTTTTGTATTTAAAGTTTTGAGGGAAAAAACCTCAAAAAGTAGAAATATATGTAAAAAAACAAAACAAAAGCGATTTTCAATTTTTTTGTAGTTTATTGCACTTTTTTGCAATTAATGTAGTTACTATGGACTTAATGCATACATATTATTAAAATATGGGCTATAACAGTTATTTAGCAACTTGAAATGCTCCCACAAATGGCACTACAACATGTAAAAAATTAATATAAGCTCTGGCGGACTTGGTTCTATAGTAGGTCTTAAAGGGTTAAATAAATATCGTCAAATAATCGCGATCTCAATTTCAGTGAAAATAATCGTGATTATCATTTTTGCCATAATCGAGCAGCCCTACTTTGAAGTCTGTGAATACAAACATCTCACACACTAGGGATTGGTTTTGTTAGTGAAACATCCCTTGACTGCAAACAAGTCCTGGGCGTGGAGTTCGAGCAAACACACCTGTGGCATCATGTGAATGACAACCCGAAATATTAGTTAGCAGGTTTAAATTCCTCAATGACTAATGCTGTAAGAAGTCTGCTTTAAAGTAAAACAGAAAAGGACAGAAAATATGAAAACGTAAGAGGTGAAGCATCACACTAAACATTCTCCTGATGCTTCCTGCTTCTGTCCAGCTGATCTATAAGTGATAACATCCATCTGACAGCAGCTGGGAAAACCTCACAGGGCAACCTGCCAGACAGCAAGCTGCCAACATCCACCACCTCTCTCTCCTCCTTCTTCTTCTTCTTTCCAGGGCAACTTGTCAGACCTGATCAGCCCAGCTCATCAGGGATGTCAGATTTGAGCATCACACCTTGTGTCCTAGCTTATTCCCTGATTTCTCACCTACTGAAAGCTGGCCTGCGAGTGTGTGATGAGTGGAGATGCCGAAATGAGATGAGATCACACCTGCAGAATTTCAAAGCATCTGAATGGCTGCACTCACACACAGGCAGAAATGTATCCACATCACCCCCCTCCCCTCTCCTGCACGGAGGTGCACATGAATGGCTTCAGGCTGAGCATTTTAAAAGGGTTTTAAGTGTGGCTGCTACATCAACAGCATCATAAATCAGTTGTTTGTAACGCTGTCACGGCGGGTTGTCTCCTGTCACAGCCTATCAGAGGTTAATCTGCCTTGATATCGCGTCCCACATCTGAGGCCGGAGCCTGATCAGCTGGCTGGCAGTGATTGATCCCCGCACGGAGCACAGAAATCGATTTTCACGGTGCCTGCTCGGTGGTTTGAGGGGTGATGACGAGCAGCAAGCTAACGAGCTACCCGGCTAACCCACCACGGTGGGATGCACAGCTCACACACATCGTTACACAGAGGAAAACAAATAGCGGTATGAATCGGGTGGGGAATTGCCACATTATGAGTTTGTTATCTAATTTTAAAAAACAAACAAAAAAAAAAACCGCATCGGCAGCAGGTTGTTGCTGCGCTAGCCGAGGCTAGCTGACAGCACGGCTGCACCGCATCGGCAGCGCTAGCATCAGTTAGCCTAGCACCACTTCGCTCCATTGAGAAAAAAAAAGAAAGAAACAAACTACACCTTCTTCCCCTCCACGGTTGTGTCAGCCTACCTGGACATAGTTGCTCTCGCAGTACTCCGCGACTCTTTCCAAATTAGTGAAGCTGTCCAGCAGCGCGCTTCGTCCCGCTGGAATCTCCTCTTCCAGAAGCATTTGTAGCTCCGCCATTTTCACATCTTTAGCGGAGAGGTGCGCTCTCTGGCGCCCCCGTGGCCGCCCGCGGTACCGCAGGGCTCTCCCCACAGCCGGGCTTCCCAAAATTAATAACAAAGCGGCATCACAGCACACTCCCACTGCTGAGTGCTTCAGAGGTTATTTATTTCTCTTTCTTTCTTTCTTTCTTTCTTTAATTAGTTTTCAATTCAGAAATATTTAACTCAGCGAATAAAACATTTCATAACTATATATTAACTACTGTACGCAATAAAAACCTGTAATACATTTCCTGGACTCATTTTTTATTACTCTTTAAGGCTTTAGTTACTGTGAAGCCAGTCTGGAGTAGGAGAAGAAAATAGGATTTTGCTTCCCCTTCTGTAAAGCTCTCATAACATTTAATTTAAAGCTGCAACAATCACTCAATAACTAATCACTGAATAACTTTCTGGAGCTAAAAGCGCCTCCTTCCCCCTGTAGAAAGCTGAGATGCTTTTACTATTTTCTGGTCTCTTATACACCAACCTGTTGATCCAATAAACAAAATAACAGCTATTATTGATTTATTATACATGTTCAGGCCCAATTTAATTTAAAATGTCTTGCACATGTGGGCTGGAAATACACACTGCTTAGCACTTGATCATCACAAGTTGGTGGATCTTCAGGGATATCAGTGTTTCCAACAGCAGATGAACTGGAGAGGCAACAAGAAGACAACCCCCATAAAAGGTTTAGTAGGTTGTGGCCACAGACTTTTTTTTTCTCGAGTTCAGATTTTTCCTGGTAGCATGAGGCGATGTCTGCCCAACACAGTCTTGAGGATGTGGAGAAGATACCAGGATGGTAGAAAGGCTCATCAACCCAGAAGATGCTCATGCGCATGTTTCTTCCCAAACTAGAGAAACAGAAACAGACTCCATGAGGGTGGCCCGAGGGCCCAACATCCTTTTAAAAGGATCTGTGTTCAAAGCCCAGTGCTTTGCAGTTCAACTGGCTTTCACCAGAGACCACCAGAACCTAGCAACTCCAGCTTTACTCGTCGAGCCTCCCTCCCTGAAGAGACAGGAAGCGTTCGACAAACTAAACCTGTGAGTGGAAAAAGCTAATGTCATGCTTAAGGCCTCAGTGGTGGTACAAGGTGGGTGAAACAGCCTTTAAAATCCTACAAATTAAGAGTGTCAGTCCAAACTACTGGCATCATGATGGGGAACTACGATGACGTCTAACAGGGAATACTCTGCTGGTAATTTCATTCAGTGATGTTAAATGTGTTGCTTTTTGCTCTTCATCGTTTTCTCTAAATCTTTGTTTTAGCTGCTTCTTCTGCTGACGGTGATCCAGGTTTCGTCCTTCGGTGCGGATACCAGCTCGGATCGAATCTCGGCCACTTGCCCCTTCAGTCGGTGGAGCTTCAGCTGCCGCACCAACGTGCTGAGGACGACCGTAGCCACAGTGTAGGCAAACCTAACGGAGACCAAATAGTGATTGATGCAGGACATCCAGGTGTAGAAGAGCTTCAAATAGTTATCAAAACTTCCCAAAGTTGGTCTAATGAAGTCTGCTTTCACAATTAGCAGTCTGAGTGACAGAGTGTGGATAATTTCCTCTTACCTGAGCTCTGGACACGTCTGATTCCCTGAGAATCCGAGCAGACAGAAGCTCTTCCTGGCCGATTCTTCCTCGAATCGATCTGGGTCAAACCTGAGGGAGGATTGAAGTATTCACCAAACCAGTAAACAGACATATTACAACTTTAACTTGGAAGAAAAAAAGCCCCTCACTGTGAAGCTGTCACATTATTTTAACTGCAGTTTATTTGATGGCTGCAGATTTATGTTACCTGGTGAAGGCAGATGAATGCCCGGTGATAACTGTGACATGCACCTGTAGACTTAACAGGAAACACCTGATAATCCAGCGAGCTCTACACGGTAATGCTAGCAGGTTTTATTTCCACCCACCGGTTAGAATTAACTTCAAAGCAACCCCCCCACAAATAACAGCTAAGGCTGATGACAAAATGCCATTAGTTTTGAAGTTACTTATGAAATAGAGGAAAAATTAAATAGATGTGTTGATGATCAACTAAATTATTTGAGCTCTTCCTGTAAAATTTTTCCTAATCCATTAACTAAATGTTGACCCCTGGTGGAGCTACAACAAAAGTTTCAAGCTCACCAAATCGATATTTGAGCCTCTGGGATGAAACCGCTGCCAATCAGATGCTTTCCAGATGGTATTGGATGGTGGATCAAAATCTGACTGCACTTTTCTTTGTTTATAATCGTTACTTTTAACAAGATCAGATATGTTGTCACTGATTTTCAGTCCAGTTCTTGTGTAATTTTCATACCTCAACCTTTCTCCCTGATTCCCTTCAGTAAGAATGGCTTCTTCACAGCAATCCATCCACTGAGACTTCCATGAACAGTGACAGATAAGCTGAAGTTTAAGATGCATCTCTTAGCATGCATCTTTTTGTCCTGAACTTGTTCAGTTCCCTCAACATTTTTAAGGACATGCTGCACAACACATCGAGATGTGTCAACCTTTCAGCTAATAGCTCTGGAAAAATGCTATTTTATGTCTGTTAAAGACAAAGATCAGATTTAAAATCTTTTCCAAGTTCTCTGTTATGTGTAGACACGACACTGGTTCATAGTTGAGTTAGGTGCCTTTGTAAGGTTTTAACAATTCATTGGTTAAGGTTGCTTAACACACACACACACACACACACACAAAGAAATGAGGGGCTTGTGCACAGCATGGTACCTCTTAGTCTAGTAAGGGATACCATACTAGTCCCAGAATATAAATAAAGTACTGGGAATGAGCGTTACAGATCCTGTTTTATAGAGTGATAATTTAGTGACCCAGTACAGTTTTCTTTGTATTGCAGATTTTGAATGAGTGGGATTTGAACTGGCAGCCATTTTTAAACTGGCTGAAGAACATGTCAAAACCAAAATGTCAAACCTGTAAGGGCTGCTCCAGGTTTCCTCATCTTGTAGAACCACTCCTAAGGCGTAAATCACCAACGTCTGAAAGTAACAACAACAACAACAGTGTTTACGTGTAACAAAACTGCTGTATTTTAACCTCAGCTGGGAAAACTGAGGGAACAACGCACTTTAATAGGGAAGGAAGAAAAATAAAACAAAACAGGAATATCACTTGCTTGACTTTAAATAAACATTCAAAAGTTGCATCTAAAAAATAAAAAATAAAAAAAAAAAAATCCTCGGTTTATGTTTCTTACGCTATTTAATGTTTCTATCTGTTCTTGTTTACCATTAACACAGCAAACACTGTGTTTGTGCAGCTGAAATAATCTGGCTGAGAGCCGCAGACTCCGGGAAACCGGATACCTCTTTGGGGATGACGTGCTGATCGACTTTGCCCTCCACTTCCTGAAGCCGAGCCGCGACGGGGGTGAGCTTGGCAGTCCTCACCGTCTCGTTCAGGACCTGTTGGCAGTATCTACGCGAGGACGGAAATGCGATCGCATCAACGTTATTGGCTGCACCGCGTGTGAAGGACGACTCAAGAACGCCTAAATACGTAAAAGTCCAAAAGGCTTACCTGAGCTGAGGAATCTTGTCGAGGGAAACCGGATCAGAACCCAACACGTCCTCCAGCTCCTGGTGCAACTTGTCCTGCACTTCCTCTGAATTGGACAGGAAGTAAAGAGCCCAGATACACACTGCCAAAACACCACAGTGTGTAATCTTAGAATCAGAATAAAACAACATTTTGCTAATAAAAGATAAATAAAAGTTAGCTTTTGTTTGCTTTTAGAGCTAAAAGTTCATTACATTATTGTTAAGTGCCTATCAGACAACTCTGGGAAACTGTGCTTATAAAAACTGTATCTGGCAGGCTTCACATCCTCTGATTCAGGCCACTTACAGTTCGCAGCGATGACACATCCAGCCAAAGTGAACACCATGCAGTCCTCCATGATCTGAAACAAACAATCAAGATTTCAGCGTTTTTTTTTTCTTACCTCTGTGAAAGCGCTGAGGATGTAAAGCAGAAGCTCATCAGCATTCACCTGTCGCTCTGTGAAGTTGGACTGCAGCAGAGCGTCCACAAACACCGCCTGCTTCCTCTGGGCTTTCCTGTCCTTCGCCACAGACAACAGCAAAGACTCCATCTCTGACAGAGCTGACCACCGAGGAGGAAAAAAACAAGATGAGAGCCGTGGCGACTCCGACCACATTCAAGGGCTCAAAACCAGAGGAACCCACCCGAGGGATTAATAAAGTTCTATCTAATCTAATCTAATCTAATCTGACATCCTAGCCCGGCACGGCTCACAGATTTTGTCCCACAGCTGCTGGACAGGCCCTTTAAAAACATCTGAATCATCAAAACCTTGAATGTGAGGTTCCCCTGTCTACACTAATAGGGTAAAGGGTAAATTATTCTCACACCTGGGGAGCCACTTTTTGAGAACCTGGTGTCAGAGTTACATGAAGTGACATGAACAAGTGCCAGACACTCTCTGTGGGGTTACACATTAAATGCAGTCTTTGCAGCCCTTTCAGACAGCACCCAAAATAGCATCTGTCCTTGGCAGGTAAATCCCTATCGATCCTATCCAAACAAAGCCTGTCTGCTGATTAAGGTGGTAACCGTGAATGTGCTCGGTCTGTCTGTCAAGAGGCTTAACACAGAGATAACATCGGAGCCTCTGCAGACTTTCCATTTGGCTTCACCACACAAAGCCAGACACCGCTCCCACACGTTGACACGCCTCCTTCGCTCACCCTTCTCATAGTGCGCTTTCCTGCTGGAGCTCTTCTCCAGGGAGCCGTCCAGGTAGCCCTTTCCAATTTCTGACCAGATCTGGAAGCGTGAGTCAGAAGAGCAAAAATAAATAAATTAATAAAAATCAATGATCAGTTACAGAGCCTTAAACTCCCTGCAGAACTTTAGCATGGTGCATTTTTGATTAGCATCCCAATAAAGTAAAGTTTTGTGTCCCCCAAGCTTACTGCACAGAGGTTTGTGCTAAAATTTCTCACCGCATCGTGGTTCTTGCGGAAGGCAAGGACCTCAGTGTCGTCCCCAAACCGCTCGCCCAGAGCCAGTTGGGTGACCGTCTTCATGGCCAGGCCCAGCAGGTGGGCACACAGAGGCGTGTGCTGACCCTCTGGGAATGACTTCCACTTTTTCACCAGCTCATCCACCAGCTAAGAAACAAGATATCAGTTAGCAGGAAGTGTGAGGAAGTTTTTGGTTTTCTTATTTATTTTAGAAAAATTATTTCTTGGCTTTGGAAACCTTGAGCACAAGCGGAAAGTTGTTTTTCAGCGTGCTGTTGATGGCACTTTCGTACACTTTTTTTCTCATGATGGACTCGCTGGCCCCACCTCCCATCCCGGACTTGTAGCCGAGCAGCGACTTCAGCATCGTTTCAAAGGAGTCGGCTAAAAAGGAAGCAGGAAACAGCAGATTTATGCATAAGGATGTTCTTCTTTTCAATTAGATATTTTTCCCAACAAATTCCTGAGTGTAAGAAAAGCTGCTGATCCAAACTGGTTTGCTTACTAGCGTGGTTGGGGTTGATGTGTTGCTGAAGCTCGCTTACGGAGCCCAAGCTGACCACAGGGCGACCACCAAACCAGAACGAGGCCACGGAGCCGTACTCATCATGCAGGCCGACGAGGAACTCATGCAGACTGCCTCTGTCGATGATATCCTGCAGGTTTCCATCCCTGGAGAACAGAAAATAGAACATTAACGCACATATGCTTATATTTACTGACAAAAGCTATTAGGATGACAGGACCCTTAAGAAGCTAATTATTATGCACAATGTACTATATTTTACAAAATGCTGTTATTGAATAAGAGTTAACAGAAGCAGAAAAAATAAAGGTAAAGATGAAAACTTACTTCTCATCTGTGGGGTTGAGACCTGGGATACCAGAGGCCCTTCTGGATGACTGAAAATATGATTAGAAATGAGATTTTGTTGTTTAACACAAATACAAGTCATTAAACATGAGTAGTTTTTCTCACAGTGGTGTCCACATGTCTACTAAGTCTTTACATAATTTAAAATAATGGCTCTGCCTGTCGGAAAGCGGGTCCCATTCAGAACCTCTTTGAAAAATACAAAATTTAACAATTTCTTATTGAATGGCATGCGCATATGGAACATGATATCGTTTAGGGATGTGAAGTAAATTAGTTGGAGTTTAGAAATAAATCGGCTTGTAACACAAACACATAAAGGAAACTGATAAAAATGAAAAAAAAAAAAAATCTCGTTTTCGCTCATTCCGTCTTCTTGAAGTTGGATTTCTCTGGACTAGGTCAATGAATATTATATTAAATGGGAGCCGAAATGTGCAAAATACACTCCTTACTCAATTAATCTCTTAAATAGTTCAGAATAATGTGCTCCAACTCGTGAACAAGAACTAAAACATTTAAAAGCGCTTTTTGGTTGGGACACTGGGATGAGGGCAACAGCCCGCTAATGTAGCAAGCTAACGCCAAACTTGCAGGAACTTACCGGGTACAAATAAAGGACAGCGCCCACCAGGATGATGACAAAGGTAACAGCAAAGATGGCAAAGTCCAGCATGATTGCTCGCTGTTATCAAACAGTTTCTGCTAACTTTTATTCACGTGTATTTGAATGTTTCCACCAAAAACCTCAAGATATATCACTACCACGTCAACATCAACTGCTCGGTTATCTGTGTTCGATTATACAGCCTGGATCGCAGGCAGAGCAAACCAATGGATCTTAGGAAAAATGACACCAAGGAGACACAAAACACGGGCAAAGACAGACAAAACGCGTTTTGTCTGTCTTTGTCCCTTTGTCGTCGGGACACAAAACAAGATCAAAGAAACAGAAATGTTGACAAGTGAGACACAAAATGATCACAAATACATAAAATGACATAAAACAACTCAAAGGGACACAAAATGACCATAAAGTCATTTTATAATGATGTAAAAAGACACACACAAAAAATCACACTGAGCAAAGGCATAAGAAACTACAAAGAATAAAAATAAAATCACACAAAGAGATACAACATGAGTAAAAATATACTCAAAAACACAAAAATGAGAAATAAGCACATAAACAGGAGCAAGGACATAAAACAACTATAAAAAGAAGAATGAACAAGACCAGAGACACTAAATAACCAGAAAGACATAAGATAAGACACAAATGACACCAAAGGGACAAAAAACAACTACAAAAGGGATCGCTAAAAAGAAAAACAAAAAGAAAAGTGAAACAAAATGACGCAAAATGATGACAAAGGGACATTAAAAAGACATTAAATGACATAAAGAGAGAGAAAAACATTATGAGATGAAAAAATGACTAAAAGGGCACAAAAACACCAAAGTGACAATAAAGAGATGCGAAACATGCACAAAGACATAAAAACAACACACTAAACAGCCACAAAATGTCCACAGAGACATGAAATAAGACACAAAATTACAAGAAAACAGAGACAAAACTTGACCAAAGTGATACAAATGACAGAAAGGTGATATAAAGCAACTAAACATGGACTACAGTCACACCGGAGACACAAAATGACTACAGAGGGACACAAAAAAGACCAAAGTTTACAATAAAAAGACTCAACATGACACCAAAAGACACACAGGAAAAAAGACCAGACACCACATGTCCACAAACATAAACTAATAACCTAAAATAGGACACAAAATCACTCAGAATTATTTTTTTTTTTTAGAAAACGCTTTGTATTCTGCTCAAATTAAAACTGATACATTGACACTTCAGCTCAGATGTCAGTGTAAAATCCGCGGTCAGCATTACATTTAGCTGCCTTTCAGTTCAGTTCCATCACAGCTGCTCTTCAGCTTTTCTAGAAGCCTTTTAGGATCTCAGATGATTTTTTTTTTTCTTTGACTCATCTCTGTGTTTATACCTCAGCTATTCCATCCTTTGGTTAATGCACTTCAACTGGCCTGAATTTCCACTTCCAGGTTAATTTCATTAGCTTTCAGTGCAGCGCAGTAACACCATTAACTACTCCTTGGCATGATAAGTACTTTTACTTTTGATATGTTACAATGCTTTTGCAGTTAGACCAGCGGTCCCCAACCCCCGGTGAGTCGTTTGGTACCGGGCCGCGAGAGTTGAGGCTCAGGTGTGAAATGTATGGTTTTCAGAGTTTTTATTGGTTTTCAGAGTTATTTTGTTATCGTTTTTATCGTTAACTCGGTTTTCCTGGGTCTTTTCACGTGTGTTATGAATAAATCTTGTTTTATTTGGTACCGGTACTGGTTTTATTTTGTTGTATTTATCCGCGACACCTTAAAGGCCGGTCCGTGAAAATATTGTCGGGCATAAACTGGTCCGTGGCGCAAAAAAGGTTGGGGACCGCTGCTGTAGACCATGTAAATCAATTCAATTCAATTAAAATTTCTTCATAGCTCATTCAGTGTGCTTCAGTAGCCTGGGCAAGCAGAAAAACAGTGTAGTGAATGCAGTGAATGCTTTCTTTCAAGGGTTTCATGTAGAGAAACAACTGTAAACAAAAGAGAGAAAAAACTATTCTTTAAATCTCTGTATTTAAAAAGAAATAAACATATTTCAAACGTACAAAAATAACTTAAACAACATTCACGACAAAATGCAAAAATATGTGCAAAATGACAAAAAAAGCTGTACAGTAATTTCTTAATTCTCTCAGGCGGTCATTTCTGATTTGTCCTCTAGCTTTGGAGGCTCAATCTCCATGGCCATTAGGTAACCTGAGGAGGAAGGATAAGAAAACAAAAATAAATGTTTTAAGTTGGCTTTTCCTTTTTTAAGCAGAAATGCTCAACCCACACTGCTCTCTCTCACCCTCCGTGTAGTCGGTCTCAGGTCTGATGGCGATTAAAATCCAGGCCAGGCCCACCAGCAGGGCCACCACCAGGTTGACAGTCACCCATGGGTGGAGAATTTGGTGCTCCAACCCTGTAGGCCTAAAGCAGAATCAGGTCAGTCTCTGTATCAAAACCAGACTTTTTAATGATATCGGAATATCAGATTATTCCAGCAAGCTCACAGTAGTGCCGTGTTGTTGGAATAGAGGTTGATCCGATCGCTGGTCATTTGCTGGCTCAGAGAGAGGACGAGCGCTGAGAAATACACTGTGTGCAAAAAGCAAAGCGTGTCAACTGAATCCCAAACAGAGCCCACGATGATGTGTTTCTGAAGCACAGACAGAGAAGGAAGGAGGACTCACAGAACGAGGCGAGAGCCACCGGATCCAGCGTGATGAACTCCCGCAGAGCCACGGGGCCTTTGGCCAGATTCACCCTGAGGAGAGTTTAATTTGTAGAAAACACAAACATCTAATTCATAGCGTAAATGGATGCAGTATTCATTCACTTCACACTTTTAATTACAAGATTTATAAAGTGAGATCCCTGTCCCACCCCAGCTCTATAGCCCCTCACCTGAGCTCAAAGTTTCAACACGTTCTTTTTAACTGGGTACAGTTTGAACTGCACCACCACTTATATGATGTTGCAGATTTACTTAAGACACCTGCTCCTATCAAAAGTTTTGTTTGTAAATAAGAAAGCGTTATTCACAAAATAAACAAATAACCCCTTTTTGTTTGCAAATACAAAATTTTTGTTTGCAAACATAAAAATCTGAAAATTTTGACTGCAAAATAGTGACGTTTTATTTGTAAATACAAAAGTATTTATAATCCGGTTGTTCAGTCTGACGTCACTAGCCGTGTCTGGGCCTAAACTCCACTGCAGGTCCATATATCAAACGATCACTGTGGCATTACTGAGAGTTGAAAAACTGTCTAGTCTTTCATCTTTAATAAAATGATCAGCGTTCTGCTCTACCAGGTGTAACAATTGAGTTTAACATCCAGGCATCCATGAAAATGGAATTTATGACATTTAACGGAGTTAGAAGTTAGCAGGGAGTTAGCTCGCTAGCTTCTATCTAAATACAATATAGCATGTCCTAACTGTGGGGTTTTGGAAACAAATTAAAACGTACAGCTCTGCTATCACTTCCAGCATAAATGAAGACAGAAAACTAGACAGCAGTGACGTTTGTAGGGTTACTGAAGTTGGGCTAGCTGGTATATAATGATGTGCTACGTGACCGCTAGCGACACAGCTATGTTAGCATAATATAAACAAGCTAACTTTTTTTCCACTCGATAAAAGTTAACGTGAGTGTTCTCGGTGGTCAGGAACAAATGTAATCGCATGGCAGGATGCTGAAAAGAACCAAACTTCAGCCAGGAGAACAACTGAGATAATCTATCCACAATACGAGGTTAGTCATTCATATACTGCTGCATGGGCTGGGCTGTAGTTACATCCTAAGGTTTTAAAAACTGAGCTTAAATAAATGATTAGTGGTAATAAAAGCCGAGGGAGGTCAACAGGGATCACTGACTGTTTTAGGAGCTTTTTGAGATCAAATAGAAGAAAATACAAAACATTAAACATGTTAACAACACAAAAGCCATATTAAACGCAGACTACTTTAGGCCCGGAAGTAGGATTCGTCGCGTCATCACTGAACAACCGGATACAATAAACCCGTTTTTTGTTTGCAACTGTTAAATCCAAAATGTTTTGTTTACAAATATATGTTTTTAAAAAGCAAATTTTTTTGTTTGCAAATAGCAACATTTTGATCGAAAATACCACATTTGTCAGCAAATATAAAAATTATAAAATTTTGCTAGCCAATCACATTTTTCGTTTGCAAATATTAAAAAAATTTAACATTTTTGTGCACAAATATCAAACTTTTTTTATGAATATTAACATTCTGGAAAATATACAAACACCGATTTTTTGGTTTGCAAATATCAAAAATAAAAAATTGTTTTGCAAGCTCATATCTTGTTTCTTGTAAATATAAATGTATAACAAGTTTTTCTCACAAATACCAAAGTTTTTCTTGCAAATACCGTGCCTGCGTGTGTTCTCTTTGTGTCCATTTTGCTCGCACAGTAGGGTTTGGCTATTTGGTGATTCTAATTTGCCAGAAGGTGTGATGTGTTTTTGTTTGCAACGTGGCGAACCATGATGGATTTCCAATGTGCAGCTTTACCTGTCGAAGGCTGCCACTGTACTGATGGCCAGCAGCATGTAGAGCAGAGACTGGGAGGGATACGCCACGCTTTGGTACTGCTCAAGCAGGTTGGACAGGGAGGTGAGGTGCTGCCCGGCTAGCATGTACACCATCACCACGTTCCACACGGCGTAGCCGGCCAGGAAGCCCTGACAGTATAGACCGAACACCCTGGAGCATGAACAGAGGAGAGGAGGAACACTGGGATGGGAGGACGGACTCGGGATTTTTATAGTCATACAGGAGACACTTTGCTGTTACCTGAAGCCTCCATGCACTCTGATGGAAACATCTCTGGTGGTCCACAGTGGCTGCATGTGCTGGAAGTCTGCCATGTTGTCCATCGGGTCGCTGATCTTCCTCCAATCGGAGCGTTCAGCAGCCTGGAAACGCTCTGCATGCAAACACATAAAAAAAGTTAAACAAACAGCCTCATCATCAATATCGTCTTCTTCTTCTTCTGTCACTCACTATTTCTCTCCACAAACACCTTCCCGACCGGCTGGCTCTGACCCTGTGGGGCGGCAAACAGGGAATGCTGCGGCAATGGAGGAGGGGTGTCGGCGATGATGTCATCCTCCGGTATGTCCAGCTCATCGGGAAGCTGCGTCTCGACAACTTTGGACTTCCTGAAGAGTGTATGGCAAGTTAAAAAAAAAATTTAAAACTAAAAAGCCAGACTATTCTCAGGTCACAACATTAAAGATAGTAACTTGCAAATATCAAATCAAATCAAATCACTTTTATTGTCACATCACATGTGCAGGTACATTGGTACAGCACATGTGAGTGAAATTCTTGTGTTCGAGCTTCACAAGCAACAGAGTTGTGCAAAATACAATAATGTAAACAAGCAAAATACAAGAATGGCTACATCTGAAACTAATAAATATATGTACAATATATAATAGTATATGCATTTCTGGATGTGTATACTAAATATTTTTCTACGTGTGTGTGTGTGTGTGTGTGTGTGTGTGTGTGTGTGTGTGTGTGTGTGTGTACACATATTTTACAAATTAAATAGAGTCAACAATAAATAAAATATATAAAAATATACAGAGTGAGACATGTGCAAAACAGTGGCGTTACTGTACAGTATGGAGTGCATAATGTTAAAGTTCCAGTAGTGAAGCTGAGGTGTCTATGAAGTGTTCAGCAGTCTGATGGCCTGATGGAAAAAGCTGTCTCTCAGTCTGCTGGTACGGGACCGCATGCTGCAGAACCTCCTTCCTGATGGAAGTAGTCTGAACAGTTTATGGCTGGGGTGACTGGAGTCCTTGATGATCCTCCCCGCTTTCCTCAGGCAGCGCTTCCTGTAGATGTCTTGGAGGGAGGGAAGCTCACCTCCAATTATCCGTTCAGAGCACCGCACTACTCGCTGGAGAGCTTTGCAGTTGTAGGCGGTGCTGTTGCCATATCGAGGCCCAGCGTACGTTTGAATTTGTTCTCCTTCAATGATGGTTTACATCAGCTCAGTTATTAATTTATTGTGAACACTTGTGTGTCTCAGAGTCAATAAAGGGGAATAAACAAGAACAGCAACATTATAAAAATCAACTGTCAGCCAAATGATTTCTTTAAATGTGGATATCAAGCCAGAAATTTACAATTAGTGCACCTGTATTAAAATAATAAATTCTTACTTTTTCTTTCGGGGTTTCCTGACCACTTCTTCTCCATCTGTGGTCTGGTCCGCGGTGTCTCCGTTCACCAGGTCGGCGTGGTCGTCCTCAAGACCTGAAATCCAGGATTCACAACATGGGCAAAGTTTCAGTTTCAGCCAAAAGTTCAGTCCTCAGATTGCTCTAACTGCTCACATTCAGACACTTTTTTCTAAATTTGGCTCTGCAGTCTGTCATAGAGTCGCAGAAGCTCCACCCACCTGCCGTTTGTGAGAGGCAGACAATCATAAGAAAGCTGGTTTGAAGTGGGAAGAGCTAAAGTAGCTTGTTTCAGGTAGATGATGAACTGAGGGGGCTGATGCAAGATTCACAATAAGCTCCATAAGGATTACTTTGAGCTGTGAATCATGCAAAGCCACTCCAGTAGAGTCTATAGTTAAAAATATGGAGCTAGCTGAAGTTATTATTAAAGAGTCTTTCTCCCCTCACCCCCAACTGGTGGCGGCACACGGTTGCTGGAGGTTTGTTCCTGTTAAAAGGAGGTTTTTCCTTCCACCGTCGCTTGCTCTTAGGACGTTGTCTGATTGTTGGAGGTCTCTCTGTATTATTACAGGGTCCCTACCTTGCAATATAAAGCAGCGACAACTAGCAGAGACAGAATTCTTGAATTCACCTATAGTGGCAGTTTTCTTCTTCTTCCTCCTCCTCTGTGGCGGGGCCTCGACTGTGGCTTCAAGGGTCAGATGATCCCCGATTCCAGAAGCCCTGCGGCTGCCCATGCCTCCCATCTCCATCCCCTGATCTGAAGGTGGCACAAGAAGCTACAGCTTTATTTTAAACAGTGGGTGGAGGCAAATGAGGAAATTGAAATTTTTATACAGAAATTTTAGGACAAATTTGAAAAGTCTACTCTCCTTCTTTGTGGTTTTATGTTGTTATCCTTTACTTAAAATTATTCTCCAGAGTTATGGAAGAATTTTAATGGTAACAATTTGTTTTTTAGGGACTTTAGTGAACATAAATGCTGTTATATATGTGCAGGCTTTCATGAGCAAGCCATATACAGTGGGGCAAAAAAGTATTTAGTCAGCCACCGATTGTGCAAGTTCCCCCACCTAAAATGATGACAGAGGTCAGTAATTTGCACCAGAGGTACACTTCAACTGTGAGAGACAGAATGTGAAAAAAAAAATCCATGAATCCACATGGTAGGATTTGTAAAGAATTTATTCGTAAATCAGGGTGGAAAATAAGTATTTGGTCAATAACAAAAATACAACTCAATACTTTGTAACATAACCTTTGTTGGCAATAACAGAGGTCAAACGTTTACTATAGGTCTTTACCAGGTTTGCACACACAGTAGCTGGTATTTTGGCCCATTCCTCCATGCAGATCTTCTCGAGAGCAGTGATGTTTTGGGGCTGTCGCCGAGCAACACGGACTTTCAACTCCCGCCACAGATTTTCTATGGGGTTGAGGTCTGGACACTGGTTAGGCCACTCCAGGACTTTCAAATGCTTCTTACGGAGCCACTCCTTTGTTGCCCGGGCGGTGTGTTTTGGATCATTGTCATGTTGGAAGACCCAGCCTCGTTTCATCTTCAAAGTTCTCACTGATGGAAGGAGGCTTTGGCTCAAAATCTCACGATACATGGCCCCATTCATTCTGTCCTTAACACGGAGCAGTCGTCCTGTCCCCTTGGCAGAAAAACAGCCCCATAGCATGATGTTTCCACTCCCATGCTTCACAGTAGGTGTGGTGTTCTTGGGATGCAACTCAGTATTCTTCTTCCTCCAAACACGACGAGTTGAGTTTATACCAAAAAGTCCTACTTTGGTTTCATCTGACCACATGACATTCTCCCAATCCTCTGCTGTATCATCCATGTGTTCTCTGGCAAACTTCAGACGGGCCTGGACATGCACTGGCTTCAGCAGCGGAACACGTCTGGCACTGCGGGATTTGATTCCCTGCCGTTGTAGTGTGTTACTGATGGTGACCTTTGTTACTTTGGTCCCAGCTCTCTGCAGGTCATTCACCAGGTCCCCCCGTGTGGTTCTGGGATCTTTGCTCACCGTTCTCATGATCATTTTGACCCCACGGGATGAGATCTTGCGTGGAGCCCCAGATCGAGGGAGATTATCAGTGGTCTTGTATGTCTTCCATTTTCTGATGATTGCTCCCACAGTTGATTTTTTCACACCAAGCTGCTTGCCTATTGTAGATTCACTCTTCCCAGTCTGGTGCAGGTCTACAATACTTTTCCTGGTGTCCTTCGAAAGCTCTTTGGTCTTGGCCATGGCGGAGTTTGGAGTCTGACTGTTTGAGGCTGTGGACAGGTGTCTTTTATACAGATGATGAGTTCAAACAGGTGCCATTCATACAGGTAACGAGTGGGGGACAGAAAAGCTTCTTACAGAAGACGTTACAGGTCTGTGAGAGCCAGAGATTTTCCATGTTTGAGGTGACCAAATACTTATTTTCCACCCTGATTTACGAATAAATTCTTTACAAATCCTACCATGTGAATTCATGGATTTTTTTTTCACATTCTGTCTCTCACAGTTGAAGTGTACCTCTGGTGCAAATTACTGACCTCTGTCATCATTTTAAGTGGGGGAACTTGCACAACCGGTGGCTGACTAAATACTTTTTTGCCCCACTGTATAACGAGTTTTACACTGCTCAACAGTTCAAAGCTTTCTTTGGGCTCATGACGGCAAATTGAAGATAATTTGGATGACAATGAGAAATATGCTCATGGTGTGAGCGGTGAAGATACAGTGAGGTGCATGAAAAGGTTATATTAAAGAAGCCCTTCAAACCTTTAAATTCATGTTCGTGAAGCATCAAATATGAGAACACAAAGCTGTTTCTTACCGTCTGTATCGTCCACCCCATTTGTCTCCTTTTTCGCTCTCTTCTTCTTGTGCTTTGGTGCTGGAACATCTTCTGTGCACATGAAGGGATAAATAAATAAAGCTAAGTCACATAAAAAATGAGTTTGAGACGAAATGCAACTTGTTTATTAGAAATATTTTTACCCACCTGTGTCTTGACTTCACATGTGCACAGGTCGCAAGAACAAAGAAAAGAGAGAAGAAAAGTTTAGTTTTGCTGTTTAAAGTGGACTTCGTTTGCTCATTTACTGCTTCAGTTTTTTATTCTTGGACTCTACTAGAGTCACTTTGCATGAATCAGAGTCCAAAATCATCCTCATTTATCTTATCCTGGGCTTTGGTGCAGCCCTTCAGTTCATCCCCTGTCTAAAAGCAGCCGTTTTAGCTCCTCCCCACCATAACTATATTAGAATTGACAGGTGTGTGAGGCTTTTGAGTCTGGGATGACCATATGACTGATAGCCCCTTTCTCTGATGTCGTACAGACCCAGGTAGAAAAAAATGAAGATACAGAGCAGTCTGAAGTCTGGCTGACTTATTGTGACCTCTAATTCAGTAGGTATTATTATCATTATTATTATTATTATTATTTCATTTGTATTTTGTTACATGCTTCTTTAATATGATGGCAATCTATTGCTGCCTCATCAGTGTTGAAAGTTGATCAGAGTTCAGATCTTGTGCTTTTCCACTCACTGTTTAAGGACTGACTATATATAAATTCAATCGGATTGGAAAGTTTCCTGTCCATTGTTCCTCTTATTCACTTATCTCCAATTTACTTAGTTGCTACTTTTGCCTTGTGATGTCGTGCGGAAAAACACAAAGACTGTCACCGGGATGCTCCTGGATCATTGAGACACACACACACACCCCTCTTGCATCTGCATGGCAAAAAAGCTTCATAGGTCCCCTTTAGCATTACACCACAGTAGCTGCTTGAAATGAAGATGTTTACCCACCTCGACATTGTGGGAAGAGATCGCTGGCCTCTCTGGAGAAACACAGTGAAACACAGAAGTCAGATTTCTCCCTTTGTTCACTCATAAAAAACCCTCTAAAGAACATTTTTATTCCTTCTTTTATAGATTTGGGTTGAAGTTTAACACACTAAATGCAGTTTTTTCATTCCCAAATCAGTCACACCAAAAAAGAAACCTATGTAAAAATAATTGGGAAATAAGACCTAGAGTTATATTTTCTGAATTTCTGTCCATACCAACGGAACAACACAAGTTATGAACACATTCTAGTAAATCTAGAAACAAAACTAAACACTTTTTATGACCTTTTTATTTGAAATCCTGCAAGAACAAGACCCTAAAACTGACCCTTGGGTATACACTGCTACTAGACACACCAGAGTCTGAGAAAATCTGACTGGAAAGCTTTTTGGTGCCATCAAACGCATCTTAAACATATCTAATAACTATCACTCCTTCGGTAACAAGAACACAAAAAACAAAAGAAACGTAATTTCGAAATTTAGACACAAACTGCCTGAAAGTGATATGGCTGCTCTTACAAAACAGGATAAGCCCATTATAAGAGATTATCTAAGCCACCAGCACTTGCATAACCAATGAAAAAGTTAAGATTTTAACGTAAAAAGTTCAAGAACTTTCAGTTATAACCCAGAGTCGGATATAACAACCGAAGCAAGCATCTTACCGGCGTCTTTCTAGCCATTTCTCCCCCAAGAAACCAGCGAGACAGGAGTTAAGTGACACATGACATCCTGACTGTTTTATTCTCGGCTAAATCTGTGTTAGTACATCTGCCAGGACTGAGGATTACTCCGAGCACAGGTCAAGCCCCTTTTTCAGTGTCTTGGAGCGGCAGTGTGTATTTATGAGTGTGTCGGTGAGTAAAAACATCCAGGAAGTACTTCATCTGACGTAAACCGAGAAGGAAATCGCTAAGATTTTTCAGAAATAAAAACCAAATCCCTTAAAAACAGGCTTTAAATTCACCAAGTCTGATTGTTCAAGTCTGTGTGAGGAGTTTATCAGATCTCTGGGTGCTTTTACTCGACTTTCTCCTGTTTCATTGAATAAGTTGTTGCTTAAGAGCACAAAAGAAAAAAAATGAAGGGTGGCGCAACACTTTTGCACAGGACTGTATGTCTCTAATGTCTTAATGATTTTAGTACATTTTGCGAGGTGCTACAGAAATAAAACTTATTATTATTAAAGGAAATGTAAAACCAAGTGTGGATCACTTTAATATTTCTCTAATAAGCTACTAATTCAATATTTTCTCTATCAATAACTTTTTTGTTATAATTTAAGACCGAAAACGTCTGGATAAATAAATGTGTAAATAACATAAAGTAAATAAAATGAATAAAAACCAGCCACCACGTGACAAATCAACAGGTTCTTGTTGATTTTTATTAAAAGTTATTACAGAGGAGCTACAGAGCTGTTAGCTCAGATGTGGTTTGATTTACTCACCTGTGGGAGAGGCGGCAGCTCCCTCACCCTCCGCGTCTACACAGAAAACAGGCAGGTTACAAACACCGTCTGCTCTTTATTATCATCGTTTTCGCTCTTATTAGAATTCAGAGAAAGATTACACGAAAACAGCCTTTAAAGTGAACCAGAAAACGAGCTTTCTGCCCCCACAGGTACAATTAGGAGCAAATCACGCCATCCATTTAAATATGACCGTTATGTTGACTGTTCATGCATTATGTGTGCATATCTCTCACCGTTGCTCCTCCTGTATCCATAACCCGTTTAATATTATGCAGCTGGTAACTTTGTTTTATTCGCTTCAGTCGTTTAAAGCGAATAAATCGCTGTTTTTGTTGATTTTTCTTTTCCTTTTTTGCTTTGTTTACGCTCACTGAGCGGCGGGGTTGTGGCCCGGATGTATTTAGGAATAGTGTGACGCATTTCCGGTAGCTTAACATTTAGCAAAAATAAAATGAAAAAAAATTATTAAAATTGAAGCTTCCAGGTATTAATAATGTTTTGAAGACTACTTTGCCCCTCCCCCATTTTTAATGTCATGTAACCATGGCTGCTAATCTTATTTATTTTCTTGTTGGCTGGGAAATTACACGTTTTCTGCAATTTTAACAACTTTGTTTTGTTTTTTGAAGATATATGATATGAAAACAAATGCATAAATTACTATAAGAAGGGTGTTGCAAACTTTTATTTGTTTTTTTTTTAACTTTCAAGGATTAGCAAACATCAGTGCTTTGGGTGTACAGTAACATACCTTTAAAAATACAATTTTTTTTTGTTTATTTACGTTAATTGTTCATTTTACCCACCATTTTACATGAGAATGTGTCATTTTAGGCTGGAATGGATCAAGAAATCATTTATGGCCAAAGGGGACAAACATGCTTTAGATATATGTTTCTTTTATTGGAAGTCTGTGTACAAGAATAGGGAGGAGGGCAGGAAAAGAGGCAGTTTTGTTTGAATTTAAGTCCTGCAGGCGTCTTTTATTTGAAGAGGTGCTACATATGTTCCTGCTGACTGAAAAAATAAAAAACAAAACTGTGACAAACGGACACAAATTCAGGAATTTCTTTGAGCTTGGATCCAGCTTCATTTCATCTTTGGGGATTTGAAGAGACTTAAAGTCCAGCTCACATGTGACACACACACACACACACACACACACACACACACACACACACACACACACACACACACACACACACACACACACACACGAGTATATTTACAAAAGCAATCACTGAATTTACATGTCACGATTTCATTTTTTAAAAACTGTACAGTAAAAAAAAGAAAAAAAAAAATCACTGCTTTGACCCGACGTCCTCTCCTCTACTTTGCTCCTAGGACTCTGACGTGGGTCGAATCCAGCTGGCAGGGACCCACTGTGGCTCGTCCTGCGCCCTCATCACTGCAGTCAGCAGCTCAACGCAGGAGTCCTGCAGCTCATTGTTGATGATCACATGATCAAAGAACTGCCAGTAGTTTGACTCAATCTTCCGTGCTGCTTCCTCCATCTCCTGGAAGTCTTCATCCTGATGAAGTAAAACCAAAGATAAGACTACTTCTACTGTATGAGTGGGAGGTCTCATAGGCCGATATAGATTTTGCCTATTCTAATTAAAACAGAAGAAGTCAAGTTGGGGGTAAAGAAAAAGTTCCTATAAAATTTGAGACCTCCCAAATCAAATCCCTTCCCTTGTGTGTACCAATATCTTTGTAATGCTCTATTGGATGAGAGCAATCACATGTGAATGTAAATAATTATCTTATTAGGAAAAAGAAATTTTTTTCTCCAAATTAAGAGTGGACGTTTTAACCAGACAACTAAGCCCAGCGTCATACTTTGAATGGCCGGTTGACGTAGTAGTTGGTGGTGATGTACGAGTCCTGTCTTGTCTCCCTGAGGCGCTCCAGAGTCGGAGGCTTAACATAGATGACGAAGGCCCTCAGTTCGTGTGTCCTCACTGCCTGGAGGGCCTAAAGAAGGATATACAAATTTACATGAAAACACTTTTATTTATCTATTGGCTCTCTTTACTGTGTCTGAGTTGGACTTGCGTTTGGCTCAATGTCGATGACGCAGATCTTGCCGCTGTTTAAAACCTCCTTTGCAGACTCGATGCTGGTGCCGTACATGTTCCCTTTGTGCTCGCCGTACTCCAGAAACCTGCCGGACAAAAAAAAGACAGAGACAGTGGGGCTAAAATCTATCGATTGTGGCTAAGCTCTCATCAGTTCCATCTACATTCCACAACTTCATTAATGTTTTAATGTGTGCAGACAGCTGTACCTGTTGTGATAAACCATGTTCTCAAAGACTTCTCGGCTGATGAAGAAATATTCTCTGCCAGATTCCTCATATCCTCTGGGTGCTCTTGTAGTGTCTGGAGAAGGAAAAAAGAAAAATCAACCATTTAATCTGATTATTACAGAATCTGAGACAAAAACACAAAGAGCCCAGAAAGAAGAGAATGCCTAGGATTTCTCAGGCAACTCTGCTTTTTAATAGTGTTTTTGAATTCAATTAAAAATTTTCATGATGTCTGTGACTGAAAAGATGATTACGTACATGGCACTGGTCCCTGGAAGATGTTTGGGTTCATCTCAACCAAACGCCTTCGAAGTTCATTCACACCTACACCAGACGGACCTGAAAAAGCACGCGCATGTTAATTGTTTGTATATACTTTCATTCAACTGCTTGTTATTGCATTAGGCATTTAGACATGATCCAGATGACCTGCTGAAGTTCAAACTGAGCATCAGAATTTTTATTGGCCAATGTTTATTGGCCAAGTATATGTGCAGACACATACAAGGAATTTGGTTCCGGTAGATGGAGGTTCTCAAGCACAGCAATGTAAATCACACACACACACACACACACACACACACACACACACACACACACACACACACACACACACACACGTGTCTATATATACATTACACATGCATACACATGCATACACAAAGAAGAGATAATATCCAGTTTGTCACAATTTTCTATGTGACTGCTTCAAGCTAATAGAAGGGCAACAATAACTCAAATAACCACTTGTTACAACCAAGTTATGAAGAGTTTAGAAAAATGTTGCCTGGTCTGAAAACGTGGATCCATCCTCCCTTTTTATCAGCAGTTCCAGCTCGTGGTGGAGGTGGTGTAACCGTATGGAGGACATTTTCTTGGCACACTTTAAGCCAGTAGTACTAATTGAGCATCATCATCGTCTTATGGCTCCTTCCAGCGGGATAACACACCATTTCACACAATCATCTCATACTGGTTATTTGAACAGCACCAAATGTGTGGCGCTGTCATGTCAATGTGGGCCAAAATCTCTGAAGAGTGTTTCCAGCACCTTGTTGAATTATGACAGCTCTGAAGATAAAAGAGCACCCACCCCGATTCTATCAAGGTGTATCTAAAAGGCTTATGAGTGTAGATGTTTGGTAAGCTAAACTAAAGGACTGAAATGTTTTCTGTACCTAAGAGGACAATGAGGCGGTGTACATCCTCTGAGTGGCGCTGGTAACGAACCACCTCCTCATATGGACTGTTGAGGGCACTGTAGCAGCTGCTGGGGCAACGGGTGTTGCAGGACGGCTGGGTGGTGCTGTGAGCCCGCCGCCGACACAGACGCATGCTGCGCCTAAAGCCCGCTGATGAAAAAGAACAGATGTCAGTAGATAACCCTCAAAAATGGATCCACAACACACACAGAAACAGAACTAAACTCTAAATATACCAACAAGTTTGAGCAACATTATAAGAGAAATAATTTGCTGCTCGAGAAGGCTTACCTAAATATATTCCTTCAATGTTGCTTCTAAAGTCATCCTCCTCTGGTTTGGATTTTAAAAAAAAAAGCAGGACGTAACACGGTGAGACATGTGGAAAAAAGATCGGTAACAACAATAAAAGAGATGTAAAAAATACAGATATTTGCACACAGTGTAATTAAAAATAATTCTGCAAAACACAGTGAATAATGCAGAGCCACTCCTCATGGTTCAGACATCTTATCAGGATGCATCCTGGGTGCCTCCTACATGAGATGTTTCAGGAAAGGAATGGAGGCCCGGGACACACTGGGAAGATTACATCTCTGCAACAGCTAGTCTTCTGTGCATTTCAATTATTTTTATTTTAGGGTCAAATTACCTCCAAATGGTTTTGTTAATAATTTTTACTTGAAATTACTGAAAACTAAGCAATACCAGAGTCCAAGGATGCGTAGTAACCGTTAAAGTAATAACGTAGGAACTTTAAGTTGTAAATTTGCTATATATACACACTTTTTTTCCCCTTTACATTAGATTTATTAGTTGTAAGTTGTTCCTGGGAAATCCAGATGATAGCCAATGTGTGTTGGTGGGGAGCGAGACAGAGATACACAGGATTGGATTTTATCTGTGACCTTAAATCAATCAAAGCAACTACATCAGCCCGCGTGTCCCATAAAGCCTCCACCCTAAAACAAAGTCTAAAATATTTCTGCAAATTCAAACAGTACTTGAGGGATTTATGATGCACTGCTGGATTAAAAGAAAAAGTCAGATAAGCATACATACGGTATTTAGTCTTTAGTGTGGTTCATGCCACAAAAACACTGGATCCTTCCCATTTCCCACAATGCAACACACCTGTTACAAATAATAACAGAGGATTTGTGCTACGATTATGGGTAGGGGTGGGTTTTTATAATCGATTTATCGATTAAAATTGATTCTGGCTTGGATAACGTGAAATCGATTCATTAAAATCCTGAATCGATGTTTTAATATAAATTTATTTTGCCCGAAATGCCAGAATCTCAGGTGAAACCTCAAAATTTCAACAACCACCAAACAGCTAAGACAGTAAATGAGAGCAGGAACACGGATTCTGCACAGAGGTGTAAACACAAAGCGCGGACCCGCGGATCAGAATCAGTGAGATGTGCCTTTCTCACCCGACGGCATGGACACGGTTGGGGCTGAAAGCTGACAGCTCACTGATTCTGATGTTTTGGCGGGTCCGCACTTTGTGTTTACGCCCTTTTTGCACTGATTCTAAAGCTGTTAGTTTTATCTCTCTCCAAACAATACTGACCAAACCAGCAGCAAAAGAAGAGCCAAACTGCGCTTCACATAAACATCGTCATGAATTCACTCTTACGGTTTTGCTTCCACCACGATAAAAATCACACTTCATGCACATCTCTCTCTCTCTCTGTACTTCAAGAACAGTTTCCCATCTAAAAATATGTTTTCTGCATTATTCGCTTGCTTGTTACGCACAAGTCTACCGTTGTTTACAGCGCTGTTGACCGCTGGTTTTTTTCGTTTTACATACTTCCGAAAAGAAAACCTAATTTCTGCCGTTCAATACTGAACAAATTTAA